TTTCCCTATTATTACCATTTTCTTATATATTATCAAAACCCACATAGTATGTATTTTATAACACATACTAATGACAAATCCCACAGTAACGTACAAATAAACCAAAATCCAAGTATTTTTACATATCCTTACTGTATTTTATAACACAAACTAATTATAGATCCCACAGTAACGTACAAATAAACCAAAATCCCAGTACTTTTACATGTCCTTATTGTATACCGTGTCTAATAATATGATTGCACATTTCCTTCAACATTACTGTTACATCATCTATCAAGGATTTGCATAAGGTAACTGTGCTGCTCGTTAATTGTAACAATCCATTTCCCCTAGCTTTTAGCAAAACACGTAACAGTTACATTCAACCTGTAACAAGGAAATTCTATTAGACAATCGTTTTACTTAATTTTTGCCTAATTATAATTATCTTTCGTACCAATTACAGCCCTATTTTCAGGAAAATCGTGTCAAACGTTCCAACCACGTAGAACTTTCGTACACGTACAGTGTAAGGATAGAAATGATTTAGAGATGACTATAAAAGTGTTTACAAATAGTCATCAGGCTAGCAACTAAGTAGCTACGCTCGAATGAAATCAACTATGCCAGCCGAACTCGGTTCATGTCTGAAATTATTGACCCTGATAGGTGATTGCTATGACTTGGAAATATCGGTAATTAAACATACTCTCTGTGACGCTTGTGTTATATGATGCGACGTGGGAAATAACTCTGGGTAATGAATAATAAAACAGTGTTGTACTACGCACTTTCGTTCATACAGAAGTGATCTAATTAAAATACAATGAACGCGAGAATACTCACAGTGATACAATGTGTGCGTGCACACATACGTGCTCATACAGTACACGTAATATCGAACGTAATATAAAAATCTACTGTATGTTCATAACGAAAATTATAAATTATTACGAAAATTATAAATATATACAACGTATATAAACATGATTAATAAATTAATAAATAAATAGCACAAGACCGTAGAATTTAATTGACATAAGTATGTCAATAAATAATTACACGATATATACATATTAATATTAATAATTTAGGAATATCATATAATTTATGTCGCTTTAATTTTCGTTTAATCAATCTTCCAAAGCGTTTGAATTCAACTTCGTTATCTAGATATGAATATTTAAATTTTGCTCAAACGCAGAGTAAGATTTAAAAGTAAAATATAGGATTTTAAATGTAGGAAGAGAACAACGAAAGCAATATTTTTATTATGCTATAAATTAAATTTGAAAAACGCACAGGAATTGGAGATACTGTAAAATAAAATACGTTAAATCAAGTATATTTTTAAATAAATTATCTGATGGAAAATATTGTATAATGTTATTATAATATTATTATAATATACATCACAATTACACGATAATTTTAAAATTTTACAAATACACAAGCTTTCTAGAAATTATAAAACCTTTGTACTTCTGTTTCTTTTATGTATACACAGTTATATATACATAAAAGGCTTTCAGTCCGTTTATAAATAAATAAATAAATAAATAAATAAATAAATTATGAATAAAATATTATTGTATAATATTAATAATATTGCACTATTCTTTATCTATTGCACTGCACTATGCATTATTCTATATTCTTTAGTACAATTTCTTTTAGCCAATTGTATTATAGAAATATACAGGGTGTCCCAAAAAAATGTATACACACTTTGCGTGATTGTAAAGACAGTATATATTTTACTGTTTAATTGAACCATCTTTGCACTTTCAGTATGTTTTCACACTTATGGTAGCACTTTAAAATATATTTATTTTTTCCAAAGTTTAGTCTAAAATCAGCCATTATTTTAAATGCATTGTACCCAGAAAAAAAGAAATAAATTAGAAAGAATAAGGTATTAAAGTGTATACACATTTTTTTTGGGACACCCTGTATAATAGAATATATTATAGAAAATACAAATTTAATTTCTTAAAGAAATTTATCAATTTATCTTCGTTTCGTTTCTTATCTAATTATTCAGTAATAAACTCGATGACCTGTTGCTCGCGAATTGAGATATTTCAGATATTTATACATTGTATCTTGTTCGAAAAAGGTTACGAGAAAAATGATAAATTGTACTTCGCAGTGAAGTATCGAATAAAAGAAGACTGACGAAAATCACTGTACTGTGATGAAAATAAAATATTATAAAATATTGAATTAATAAGACATAAGAAATTAATAAGAAAATTGTATTATTATTCAAATTTTATTAATATAAAATTTTATCTCGCAATAAGATAGAAGATAAAAGTCTAATAAAATCCTATGCTCGCGCAGTTGTGTCAGTATCCCTGTTGTCCCTAGGTATTTAAGCAGTGATCCACGTACAAATCTCGTTTTGGAGGTCTCTAATAAAGATGGCCACCTCCCACGTTAGCCACCAGAGGGTGTTCCATCAACTCCTACTCCCGGAAGTTCCTGTTTAGCCATCGATCCCTACGCGCAGGGTGATCTAAATAGAGTCGTACAATTGTATTAGCCACGTGCATTGGTAAAAATAAACCACACCAATTACCACGAATCCACGATAATTATCGAGAAATAAAAATTGGAAAATCGAAACAAACGCCCATACTAATCTAAATTTTCATCGCATTCCAATATTTATGAAGCACACTTCTCCAGTACATTAATTAACGTGTCCTAACCTAACAAACCTACTGCACTATACTTTCTCCTAACTCATCAGTGAAACGATTTCACGAATTTTGCAGAATTCGCTTTTTAGGTTAACCTGCTGATATTCCGAATGCCAAAATAACAGCTGTACGTGAGGAATATAAGCATTATTCAGTCCATAAAACTTGAAAATAAACAGTTCT